TGGATTAGCTTACTCGTTTGTATATACCGTTGAGAAATATTCAGAAAAAAGATTAATTACTTGGTCGGTATTGTAGATGGTAATTTGTAAGAGCCGTGTTGTTTTTTACATATTTCCAGAAATCTGTAAATACTATTTTCAGTATAAATAATATGCTCATTAAGGATCTTGGTCTGAGCACTGTTGCGGCAATCTTGCCAATTCATAATAGAAACACCACCGGCGATCTTATATCTCTTATGCGCATTGTCTTATGTACCAACTTGGTTAAATCGAAAGTGACTCAATATGGAAACTTTGACGATTTAAATTTTTTTCACGGGCATATATTTATTTACTCCTTCAAAAAAAAAAAACTGAGCAACTGCTTAACCCCTGACAGGGTACAAAGTACCCATCGAACTTTGAACTTTCACTTCTCACGTTCTAATAGAGGTAAAGCGTTTTTTTTTTTTTAAATTAAAGTTCAGAGAATTCCGAGAAAGATAGGCTTGAATAGAGTTGAAAAAAATGTTGAACCGTTGAAATTTGTACCTAAAGGTTATAAAACACGTTTTTTAACACTTTTTGTTTTTTACTCATCTATGAAGCTAGTGCATTCAAAAAAAATTTAAAAAAAAAATTATTTTATAGCTGGAGCTTAACGTGATGTATGTGGTTTTTCCGGTTTTATCTAAAACAAAAACAATTATTTTAAGAATTGAACGGGTCGTATACGAAGAATGTTTGCCCCGGGTACTTTGTACCCTGAATGCCTGTCAGGGGTTAATTTGTGTCGTGTCGTTTTTGATTTCGATGTAGCCTCTTGACAACCTAGCATTCCATCTTAGCGCCAAACATGTTAACCTCACTACCCCTGGTGTGACCTCAGCTTTAGCAAATGTGACAGGACTCTTACGACGTATTTATAGGGTCGCTTTTCGGTAGATTCTGTATTTATTTATTGAGGGTATTCATCAGAGTTGTTTGTGTCGACTATAGGGCAACGTTCTGATTTTGCTTTATGCGTAGGAAGTGGGAGATAATTAAAGATGATAGAGATTTCGAAATATTACGGAAATAGAGAGATGGAAAATTTTCTAAAGAAAAAACTGATTATTGTTGAAATGAACCTCTCAGAGAGGAAGTACTGCAATCGCCAGAAATTTCGAAAATGCCATATTATATTTTTTGGATGTTACATGACATCTGCATCACTAAAAAACATGCCACTCATTTCCCTCAGTCTGTCTTTTCGCTAGTTCATCCTAAATACATCTCAATAAATTGGAAAGCAATACTCGAATTTTGATGCAATTTCGACATAAGGCTCCTACTATGAAAAACAGGAAAAATAAAAAACGCCCACTTGTAGGGTGTGGGGGTTGTAAATGTTGCACCTCTGGAATCAGTGGGATACATTCTTTTATTAAGAAGCTTCTGATCTTGGTAATACTATACACCTATCGGACAAAGTAAAATGCTAGTAAGTTCAAATCACGCGGATCGAATAGTATGTTCACTGCTGCACGCCTGGAATTGCGATTCCCGACGACACCAGTAAATTGATTTGTCCTGGTAGTGTGCTTGAACCTTTCCACGGATTGGCGGTAGTTCTATCGACGTCGTAGGTGTATTTTTGACAATCTGATTTTGCTTTTTTCTATTACAAAGCTTTTGCGTTACAGAATAATATCAACGCTGTAGAAAAAACTTATTGTTGAAAGGAACCTCTCAGAATCGACTGACATTTTCTTCTTTTAACATGCCAATTGGCGAGAGGAAGTACTTCGAAAGTGAGATATGTTTTTTTGATGTTACATTACATGTTCATCACTAAAAGACATGCCACTCATTACCGTCAGTCTGTCTGTTCGCTAATTCATCCTAAATACATCTCAATAAATTAGAAAGCAATACTCGAATTTTGATTCAATATCGACACAAGGTTCCTACTATGAAAAACAGGAAAACTAAACAACGCCCACCTTCGTTTTCTGACGACAAAATGTTTTTAAGGCTTGAAAATTGGTGTCGTAGGGGGTGGGGAGTTGTAAATGTTGCATGTCTGGAATCAGTGAGAGACGTTCTATTATTAAAAAGCTTCTGATCTATCAGACAAACTAAAATGCTAGTAAGCTCAAATCACGCGAATCGAATACTATGTTCACTGCTGCACGCCTCGAATTTCGATCCCCGACGACACCAGTAAATTGATTTGCCCTGGCAGCGTACGTGTATCTTTTCACGGGTAGGCGGTAACTCCATCGACGATGTTAGGTATATTTGACACTCTGATTTTGCCTTTTGTATCACGAAGTTTTTGCATCACAGAATAATATCAATGTTGTAAAAAAACTTATTGTCAAAAGGAACCTCTCAGAATAGACTGACGGCATCTTCTTCTTTCATCATGCCAATTGACGAGAGAAAGTACTGTAATCGCGATAAATTTCGATAATGAGATATTTTTTTTTTGATGTTACTTGACATAATTATGCATCACCAAAAAAAAAACCTGTCATTCATTTCTGTCAGTCTGTCTGTCAGCCTCTTTGTCTGCCTGCTTGTTGGTTTGTTTATCTCTCTGTCTGTCTTCATCCTCAGTATATCTCAATAAATAAGTAACGCTCAGATTTTGATGTGATTTTGACACAAAATTTATACCATGCCAAAGACGAAAAAGCTTTGTTGCGGGGAAAAACTTGAAAAATTAAAAAATCGACCTACCGTCGTTTTCTAACGTTTCGCAAGCTCCTGCTTATTCTTAGAAAATTTTTGTAAGGGTTGAAAATTTGGAGGTTGGGGTTGTTGGGGGTGAGGGTGTTGCACCTTTGGTTCTCAGTGAGAGACATTCTATTATGAAGAAGCTTCTGGTCTTGGTAGTACCATGTACCTATCAGACAAATTTAAGCTCTGGTAAGTTCAAATCACGCGAATGGAATAATGTGTTCACTGCTGCACGTTTCGAATTGCGATCCCCGACGACATCAGTAAACTGATTTGTCCTGACAGTGTGCTTGTACCTTACCACGGGTTGGCGGAAGTTCCATCGACGACATTAGGTATATTTGACAATATGATTTTGCTTTTTGTATTACAAAGCTTTTGCGTTACAGAATAATATCAACGTTGTAGAAAAAACTTATTGTTGAAAGGAACCTCTCAGAATCGACTGACATTTTCTTCTTTCAACATGCCAATTGGCGAGAGGAAGTACTTCGAAAGTGAGATATGTTTTTTTGATGTTACATTACATGTTCATCACTAAAAGATATGCCACTCATTACCGTCAGTCTGTCTGTTCGCTAATTCATCCTAAATACATCTCAATAAATTAGAAAGCAATACTCAAATTTTGATGCAATTTCGACACAAGGCTCCTACTATGAATCACAGGAAAAATAAAAAACGCCCACCTTCGTTTTCTGACGACAACATGTTATTAATGCTTGAAAATTGGGGTTGTAGTTGGTGGGGTGGTTGTAAATGCTGCACCATATATCCTTTTATTAAGAAGCTTCTGATCTTGGTATTACTATACACCTATCAGACAAATTAAAATGCTAGTTAGCTCAAATCATGCGAATCGAATACTGTGTTCACTGCTGCACGACTCGAATTTCGATCCCCGACGACACCAGTAAATTGATTTGTCCTGGCGGTGTACATGTATCTTACCATGGGTAGGCGGAATTTCCATCGACGATGTTAGGTATATTTGACACTCTGATTTTGCCTTTTTCTATCACAAAGCTTTTGCTTCACAAAATAATATCAACGCTGTAAAAAAACTTATTGTTGAAAGGAACCTATCAGAATCGACTGTCATTTTCTTCTTTCAACATGCCAATTGGCGAGAGGAAGTACTTCGAAAGTGAGATTGGTTTTTTTGAAGTTACATTACATGTTGATCACTAAAAAACATGCCACTCATTACTGTCAGTCTGTCTGTTCGCTAATTCATCCTAAATACATCTCAATAAATTAGAAAGCAATACTCAAATTTTGATGCAATTTCGACATAAGGCTCCTACTATGAAAAACAGGAAAAATAAAAAACGCCCACTTGTAGGGTGTGGGGGTTGTAAATGTTGCACCTCTGGAATCAGTGGGATACATTCTTTTATTAAGAAGCTTCTGATCTTGGTAATACTATACACCTATCGGACAAATTAAAATGCTAGTAAGTTCAAATCACGCGGATCGAATAGTATGTTCACTGCTGCACGCCTCGAATTGCGATTCCCGACGACACCAGTAAATTGATTTGTCCTGGCAGTGTGCTTGCACCTTACCACGGATTGGCGGAAGTTCTATCGACGTCGTGGGTGTATTTGACAATCTGATTTTGCTTTTTTCTATTACAAAGCTTTTGCGTTACAGAATAATATCAACGCTGTAGAATAAACTTATTGTTGGAAGGAACCTCTCAGAATCGACTGACATTTTCTTCTTTCAACCTGCCAATTGGCGAGAAGAAGTACTTTGAAAGTGAGATATGTTTTTTTGATGTTACATTACATGTTCATCACTAAAAAACATGCCACTCATTACCGTCAGTCTGTCTGTTCGCTAATTCATGCTAAATACATCTCAATAAATTAGAAAGCAATACTCAAATTTTGATGCAATTTCGACGCAAGGCTCCTACTATGAAACACAGGAAAAATGAAAAACGCCCACCTTCGTTTTCTGACGACAAAATGTTTTTAAGGCTTGAAAATTGGGGTTGTAAGGGGTGGGGTGGTTGTAAATGCTGCACCTCTGGTATTAGCAAGATATATTCTTTTATTAAGAAGCTTCTGACCTTGGTATTATTATACACCTATCCGACAAATTAAAATGCTAGTAAGCTCAAATCACGCGAATCGAATACTATGTTCACTGCTGCACGTATTTTACCTTGGGTTGACACATTGATTTTGCTTTTTTGTATCGTAAGAACGTAGCTTTTTCATCATAAAATAATATCAATACTGATTGTATAAAATATCTGTATTTATCATACTCCATTTTTTTTCAGGTCCAGACGTGGAGAGCATGGGCTTGGCGACCTCCTTGGACGACACTGCAAACGTTCAAAATTCCGGCGTAGTCGAGATGACCCTCACTAATTTCGACGACATCGACGATGATGAGATTGACTCGTACATTCTGAGTGAAAAAGAGTTTCAGTGCAAGAACGGCTTGTGGTACGAGAGAAATTCGGAGTACTTAGAACAACAAAAGGGTGAGTCTATCTATGTTGCTGCACTAGATCAGTATAAAATATTAGCCTGTTTCATCTTATCCATCATTTCAATTTGTGACTGTGATATGTAACAATGGCTAGCTGTAGATCAGGCGATTCTGAAGCACTTCGAAGAATTCTTGGTACGGTCGAGTGACCTCTGTGCTCGTGACGTAAGCACTAATCAGACTTAATAAACGACCGTTTATCTGTTATGGCAATAATTTTAAAAACAATTTGTAATCAATAGACTCGGATAGACTTGGGTGGTGCTTTAATAGAAGACTTCTTATGTACAGAGTGATTCACAAAACATGAATATTTGTAGAGTAGAAAGTGCATCAAAAATTGACAAAAAAGTTCCTAAGTCCGAAAATGTCTCGTTTCCAAGATAGAGCAAAGCATGAAGTTTTTTCAATTAACGCGACGGTGATATAGGATAACTCTCATAATACATTATTAGGCGCGGATCCATCATCGAGGATTGGAATTTTTGTTTTCTTCTTCTTCTCCTTTTTTCCCCTTTCCTCTTCCTTGTCCTGTTTTCCACTTTCCTCTTCCAAAACACAGCGTTCTGAAATGTTGTATGTTTATAATAAGAAGGAATGGGTATGACGATTAGTATTTTCTACCAAATAAAAATAAGTGGTGTATCACGGTCTTGTACTTCTGGGGTGTATCGTTTGCTGTGTAAACTTTTGTAATGCCATTGAAAATGTTGATTAGGTTTCAGTGTATCAATGTTTTTGCAATATTTTGAATTTGCACAGTTCCCATATCTTCCCAATGAATCTTCAGAAAAGGGACACGGTGCGTACTGTGAAACCTAAGCACCCTTAATAAACTGACGACTTCCACAGGAATACGAGACAAGGGGAAGAACATGCGTAAGAAATGACTGTTTAATATCACGTGGTTTGTTTCACGAAAAGTGTTTTTTTTTTGTAATTTCAATAACATTCGGCTCTAATATTTTGGATCATTTCGGAAAACATTTTAGATACACTCTAGTCGTAAAAAATACATATTTGAAATCACTTAGACCTATAACTGATAGAACATCTGAACAAATAAACAATGTGCGAATAAATGCGCGAAGTTAACAAAGCAACAATTGAAAGATTACCATTGGGTGTCATCACCTTTCAATAGGTGACAGATCTGGACTGCTAGAAACCCACTTCAAAAGTTATTTTCTTCCATCCATTTTATAGCCTATTTTGAGGTATGGCACGCTGCACCATCTTGCTGAAACAGAAAATCTTGGACGGATGTCAAACATTCTTCTATCACTGGTAAAAGCGATTCTTCTAAAATTTCCAAATATTTGTTTTATTTGTTTGTTTCCACATTTCCATCAATAAAATGAAGTTTTCCTACTCCTTTTGATGACATACTGCCCCACACCATAATGGATGCTGGAAATTTCACTTTTCTCTTGAGACAGTCAACATGGAATGCTTAATTTTTTTTTGCGAATAACTCTTCTGTGACTGTCACCAACACAAACTTCGAATCGGGCCTCATCACTCCATTGTATTGCACACCATTGTTGAGGTGTCCATTGTCTATGTTCTTTAGCCCATCTAAGTCGATTTTTCTTTTGCAGTGGAGTTAATAGTGGCTTTTCTTTGGCCTATAAACAAGTTGTGCAACTTTAGGGTTTTTATTTCACTTTTTTTTATAAGAAAACTTATCTTGAAAGTGCTAAATCCCCGTTTGTGGGCCTCTCTATGAGTTGTGGACCTCGAAATTCTCCTTCCAACAGCGTCACTCCACAGAGCACTTAATTGTAAATATACGTATACTAAGTGACATATAAATCCGAACATCCAGTTTAAATGGTTTTATTTTAATAAAATTTTGTATAAGTGCTTAATGAAGCATAATAAGTAAATGATAAAAATTTCAAAATGATTGCACTGATTTAAAGCCCTTTGACCTTTAATAATGTGTGGATGCACCCTGATGTGCTACGCATTCTCCAACGCGCCTAGGCATGCTTCTGATCAGGTGGCCAATGTCCTCCTGTGGTATCTCATTCCAGGCAACCACCAACTCCTCTCGAAGTGCTTCTAGAGTCTGAGGAGGACGTTGCAAATTGAGCAATCTCCTACCCATCATATCCCACACGTGCTCAATTGGGGATAAGTCGGGAGATCTTGGTGGCCATGGTAACAATGTGACATCATTATGTTGAAAGAAGTCTATTGTGAGTCTTGCAACATGTGGTCGGGCATTATCTTGTTGGAAAGTTGGATCTGCCAGAGTGTCAAGATAGGGTAAAAGATGGGGTTCTAGAACTTCGTGGATATAACGCTGCGCGTTCATCTTACCTCTGATGAAGATTAAAGGTGACCTGGAACCATAAGCTATGTACCCCAAACCATAACTCCAACAGTGTGATGAACATGTCTTTCAACAAAAAACTGTGGATTCCTCCTTTCACCACGTCGCCTTGTAACCCTGGCACGACCATCGTGCATGCCTAAACAAAATCGAGACTCGTCACTAAAGACAATACTGTTCCATTCCTGATCCCAGAGTGACCGTTGTCTGCACCACTCAAGGCGATTACGTCGGTGTTCTCGAGTTAAAGGGAGGGCCCAGTGTGGCCGGTATGAAAACAAGCCAAAACTTCTCATTCGTCGGTAAACACTTCGCATGCCAATAGGTCTTCCGTGTTCTGCAAACCATTCATTTCCAATGGACCTGGTAGTGGAGAAACGGTCCCTTAAGGCCAATAATCTTAGGCGGCGATCTTCACGGTCTATTGTTCTACGGCGGCGTCCAGTGTGCCTTGCTCTTTGCGTACGGCCTTCTCGAAGCCATGCCTGACAACATCTAACCACAGTGTCTACACTTCTTTGCACTCTAACTGCAATTGCCCGAAAAGAAGGTCCAGCTTCCCGAAGTCCCACTATACGGCCCCTATCAAACTCACTAAGTCGACGAAATCGTACAGGTCTCCGTACTCTAGGCATAGTAAACGATCGTAAAGGATGTCAAGAACCAAAATCCGTCAACGTTGATTCTTTACTGCGGCTGAAATATTCATTTTTAGAGCGTTAGTGAATTAAAAAAAAACAGTATAAAAACCGGAATGTCCAACTGATAAGGCTGAAAATTTGTTCACTTGTTATTTACAGTAAGATAAATACATTCACCAACTTTTATTAAAATAAAACCATTTAAACTGGGTGTTCGGATTTATATGTCACTTAGTATAATTGGCACGCCTGTTTTTCACGACTATTCTTCTTAATGCTCTTAGGTCGGCATTTGTGATAGTACTTTTTTTCACATATCGTGGCTTAATATTAACTGAACCAGTTACGTTATATCTTCTAACAATATTTCTCACACTGTACCGCGATAAGTCTAACAAAGTTGCAATTTCTGAGTTTGATTTCCCAGAATAAAAAAATGTAATTATCAGTAACCGAATTTTCTCACTAATCACCTTTCCTATATCCATTTTGAAAACCTTAACTACTCAAAACTATTAGACTTATTTGGCATTGAAATGAAAATAGGTTGATATGCTGTAATTGCAACATGTGTCATTTTTATGCTGCAAATTTGATTAGGGAATGATAAAGTTGGTATTTTCTACTATATATTATCAAAATATTCATTGTTAAAAAACTAAGATTTCAATAGTTGGGCCAACTGAAGTGGAAAGGGGCTCGTATAAGAAAGAGTAGATGTGGAGCAACTTTATGTTTTTAAAATACACTTTCGCCAAATTTTTCCATAATTCCGTTCGAAAAGCCACGAACCACTGGAAAATATAAATATTCAGCAAAGCAATTTAATTTTTTATAACGTGTACGCGACATTTCGATAACTTGGTATGTACTGAGGTAAACAGGGTGTCCCAACCGTGCAAGGATTGTGTATTGCTCCTAAACAAAAAGCTTTCGACGGGGACTACGAGTATTTATGGATTATTATATATTGTATCTGGAAGCATAGTTCCAAAATATTCATAATTATACAGGATGTCCCAATTTTGATCCACATATCAAATTTTATTTTTCTTAAATGGAATGTCCTACTTTTTATGTTTTTGGTTATTAGATGTTGAATTAATGGGTATTTTCTATAAAATAAACATCAAAATTTGACAGCCTGCATATATGCTATGTTGACCGTTGTAGTCGTGAATCTTGTGTCACTTTTTATTCTACTCAAATTCAACCTGATTCATTCATTTTTTGAATTTTTGAGTGATCGATACGGGGTGATCAAAAACCCAAAATGTACTTTTTCGCGAAAAAAAATAATAAAAGCAACACCCTTTGCAGATTTTCATGAGTTTATTTTTAACAAAAGGTTTTTACTGGTTTTTACGGCTTTAGCTTTGTAGCGATTTGTTTAAAAAAATTCAATACTTCTCTACTCAAACAAGTAACATCATCAATGGAAACAAAAAAAAAAGTAAATGAAAATCTGTCTGTAAAATCCAGTTTATACAGGGTGGCCGATATGTAACTTACTGGATTGTATCTTAAATATTTGTGAACTGAAATAAAATATGTCAATTTTCTTCATCGTAATATTTTATTGAAACTTAGAAATTATGTATGAAAAATAATATCAGACAAGTGTCCGCCTCTAGAAGCCGCGCAGACCTGAGCCCTCTTGATTACATTTTTCATCACTTTTTGGTAGGTTTAGGGAGGAATATTTTCAATCGCTTCCGTAATATTGTTCTTCAGCTGCTCTACAGTGTTTGTATTGTCGGGTATAAACCCTATTTTTCAAAAATCCCATAAAAAAGTCAGGAGCAGTTAAGTCTGTATGACCTTGGTGGATAGTTGACATCACCAGATCGAGAAATTAAACATCCCGGAAATATTGTTCGCAAAAGATTCATTGCTTCCCTAGCTGTGTGACAAGTAGCTCCGTCCTGCTGGAACCACACGTTTTGGAGGTTAAATATGTAGTTGTATTTGAGCAGCCAGAAAGTTTTGCACGGTAGCTTTTTTGCCAGT